CAAACATCCATTCCCACCCTCATGCTCTCATATGCACTTACTCCACACTCAACCAACGTGGAGACAGACATAAAGAGACGCTGTACACACGATCACACTCCCCAAGCGTACTCCAAGCGTACATGTTATTTCCATGTTAAAGACATGTGGAGACGACACAGTAGCCCGAGTTGGGTTTAGCAGCAGCTGTTCAATGCAGTGTGCCTGGTTAAGAGTCTCTCGTGAGCTCCTATCAGTCACGTCTCAAGCTCCAGGTTGGCTGGCTCATTAGTCACACTGTTTCTTTATGTAGTGAAACCTGAACTGCTTTGTTGCATCAAAGTGTGTTTTTCCCTCCAGGTGAGTCTGGATGCTCGGGTTCGAGAGGTGATCAACAGGAAGATGCAGGATCCGACGCCACACACCTTTGAAGACGCCCAGCTGCAGATCTACACGCTGATGCACAGGGACTCCTACCCACGATTCCTTGCCTCCAACATCTACAAGGCGCTGGTTCATGGCGGCTCCCGTACGCCCTCCGAGTCCTACTCCTAAACATCTTCATCCAACCTGCGTTCTGCCTCCATCCAAATCTTTCAAGCAGTCATCACTCCATCCTCAGCTCTTCCCACGTACTCATCTTCATCGTCTCTCCACTTCATGTTTTCTTCCTTTTAGTCACACTCCTGCTCACTTCTTTCTTCTTTTGTAGTCACCTTCTCTTAATATGGAGATAATCATTTTGAAAACAAGAAAAAAAACCCTGGAAACAGATTTACAATGTTTATAAAAAAAAAATTTTTTTCTCGAATTTGAAATCTTAATCAGGCCTTTGACGTCAGTTAGACCTTGTTATGTGCAGGGTTAGTGCAGTGCAGTGATTAAAAACTAGCAGTTAAATATTAAGACAAACTCCTGGCCAACAGTTTCAGCTCAGCGAGGCTTTGAGCTCAAACAGATGAATTTTAATAGCAGTGAACTTATTGATTTTAGGTGATTTATGAGTTTTACGTCACTGAAATCAGACTAAGCTGATCCCTGATCCATCCCTGCCTTCCTCCTCCTCACGGTTCACCTCTGCTTTGGTTCATGTTTCCCACCTGCTCCTGAGGGCACCAGCGAGTGACACTGAAGTTTTACTGGGGTGATTGTTTTTTCAGTGGGAAAAATATTCACATGTGCCATCAGCTCTTTGTGGATTTTTACCAGCCTTGCTCCTTAGCATCTCCTTTCACAGAGCCAGCTGACTCCACCTCGCACTTCAGGAATGATGCGGTTCAAAGAAAAAGATGAATGCTGCGTCGTTCCCTTTCTCTGTTTTTGAACTGGAAACATGACGCTTCCTGAGACGCTTCATCTTTGGTAGTTCGCTGGATCGATGACTTTACTCCTGACCACAGGGGGGCGCCGCTTCCTCCAACTACTGATTAACAAACGACTACGTGAATATTTTATATCACAGAACTGAACGTGGAACATTTCACCTACTTTTGTTTGCCGTGGTCTCTCCTCGTCCTGGTTTTTCCAGAAGAGGATGACCCAATGAGACTGATTACACCCGACACACACACACAGAGCAATAAAAACACTGGAGTTTAGAGAAAACACACAGAATCAGTGCTACTTTACTTACACGGACCGTTCAATAATCAATACTTTCCTTCCATTAATGGTCAGAAAGACACAGATTTGAGTTTCGGAGTAAACGAAGCTGCTGTGACCACTGTGTCTTTAAAATGAATGGATAATCAGTAATAATGATTATTGTTCATAACTAGTCTGCAACCAAAAACTACTATCACTGAGAGATGAAATGTAAAGAGTGCAAAGCTGCAGGCGGACGTTTGTGTTGTAATAAATGTACATTGTGTCTGCCTCGTGTCGCAGAGACCATAAGAAGGACCTGTTAAAAGTGACACAGAGGAGGTTTTGTTTGTGCGGGTGGAGAACGCTTCACTGTTTACGACCAAGAATAACGCGCAGGTGAAGTTGGAATTTTATCTTCTTTAAGTCAGACGTACGCTGCCATTACGTGAATGTTTATGGTCGCCACATCTGTTTTCTTACAAATTTATAACAGGCCCTGTAAGTATAGTATCACACACACACACAGACACACACCGGGGCTGCCTACCTGGGCGCTGCTGCTGCTGACCTCTGCGACCTCTCACTTTTGACCTCATCACTGTCTGTGGCTCCTGATTAGCTGCAGGAGGCCACCGGGCTCATCTGTGGTTGGTCCATTCAGGAAGGGGGGCGGGAGGAAATCCCAGGTGCAAAAAAGCAGCCCATGTTGTGAGTCGGACGCTTCCTGCACTGCTTCATGGGAACGCTGGTAGATGGAGGTGGAGGCCACAGGTTCCAAACAGGAGATGCCTCCCTCTTCAGCAGACCAGTCACACGATGCATTTCTCTTCGTATTGTTGATGTTATTTATTTTCTATTTTGTTAAAACTGTGATTTTAATTGTACAAATATAAAGAGAAAACTGAAGATCCAACGAGAGGCTGCTTGTTTTGTGACAGAAATGACCTGAGAGCTCAGACAGTGTTCACACCGGTGTTAACACCAAGGACTGAATCAATAAAATCTCCCAGGCTAAAACGCTGTTATTATGATAACTGACCAGAACCGACACACTCTTTTTTTTGTGTGTCCCGTTTGGATCTTTAGCCATCAGAATTGTTGTCTTAAGGCCAAGAAAGATGCCAAGCGAATTTATTTTACCAAGTGGATCATCATGGCCTTGCCATATTGGTCCATTTGATTGACCTTTATAATCATGAATTTATTTTATTTTCATTTTTTAAAGTCGGGACAGACATGACTGCGGGATAGGACAGGGAGAAAGAATGAAAGAAAGAGAGGGAGAGAAAGAAAAATAGAGGAGAGAAGAGACTGTGAGAAAGGGGGAAGAAAGAAAGAAAAACAAACAAAACACCTGGGTCACCTGTATGGAGAAAAAAAAAAAAAACAAGAAAGCAAACAACAAAGAGCAACATAATAAAAACAGCACCATCACAATAAACTAGCTAACAATAGATATCAGTAGATACTAAATATTAAACGATATTGTGCAGCACGCAAGATAGACAGCGCACAATGTGCTTTGAGGTAGCAGCCAAGAAAGCTGTAGTCCGCGTCTGTGAATATCCGTGTGTACACCTGTGTGCATACCTGTGTGGATCAGCATGCTTGTATTCCGAAGGTTTCTCCATGTAACGATCTGCTAGGGAGTGTGGGGAGCCATAGCCCCGTCCACCAGGGTATGAAGTAGGTATGGAGGAGATCCAGGCCCCAGATATCCAGAGGCCCCAGAGTACAAGGACCCGAGGAGGACCACCAAAAGGGGGGAACCGTGCCACCCTCCTGGGAAGAGCTGAGTAGAGCCCCAAACGAGAGGTCACCCAGCAGCTACAGAGCAGAGGCCAGAGGGGGTTGCAGTGGCTTGCACACACAGATTTCATTAACCATGTCAGGGTGCTAGCTCGCTGGTTTCCCGTGTTCTGATGGTAGGATTTCTTTCTAACCTTCGGCCTCGATGAAGAGGAAAACCTAACGGTGTTTGCAGGGTTGGTGAAGTCGGTCCAGCTGATGTGATGATGAACTTGAGGGTCTACGCTCGCCACAGATCACCAACACATATCTGACTTTGTGGTAAAGTCACAGACTTCGCTTTGATCTGTGACAAATCAGGCTGTGTGACAGGAAGCTTTGATGTTTCCATGGATACAGTCTAAAGTCTCACAGCTTAAAAACAAACAGCACTGAGCGCGTTCAGACACAAAATAATTCAAATCTTTAGATGAACCAGTTTCTGCTGCTGTCAGACTATTTTAATTTATTTATCTAAAAAGGGACAGTGCAGTTTAACATAGTCCAAGTACAAAACATGAAACTGATGTAACGCACATAAGTTTATAGCTATTGCTAATTTTCAACAATTGTCCCTTGTTGGGCTTACAATCAAAATAAATACATTTTACAACAAAACATACAACTACAATTAATAGACAATAAATTAAAAAATAAAAATCTGTTAAAAAATAAATATTTTACTTTTAGATTTTGTCTTTTTCAGAGGTGTTGTATTTTTATTTATCCTCATCTGATAAAGCATCTGAGCAGGGGGTGCTCACAGGGATCATTTGATAAGAAACAAGACTGACGTGACGTGTCAAATACCTTTTTTATGTGAGCCTGAAGCAAAGAGCCCGGCTTAACAGAGAAGGCTGGTAATCACGATACCCGTTATCGCTGACTGGAGTTTCAGATTTTAGTCCAGGAAGTCAGGATATATAGAACTTTAGTTCACGGTTAGCTACAGAGCTAATATAAAATCATCAGCACAGGAAGCAGGAGGGTAAGGGTTAAACTGTTCCCAGTAACGATCACGCTGGGTGAAGGATGGAGACAAACACCATTGTAGGACAGGAAGATGCTTAAAATGACACAAACGTGTCCGTCCACAGCTCGAGGTCAGTCACTAATCTGCTGCTGCCTGGTTTGAATGACTGTGACAAAATCTTGATCCTCAGTGTCGTGTCCAGAACGAGGGGAATTCTTTGGAGTCCAGGACACAACTTCTCTGCTGCTGGGTTAAGGTCAGACACTTTCTAATAAACAGTTCTTAGAGCACAACAGGAGCCAAGAGTACAACTCAATAAAGTTTCCACAAACACAGAAAATAATGAACCAGCTCCCTGAAATCTATAATCTCAGACGGTTTCCACTGAGCACCAATTATGTTCTCTTGACAAAAATAGACTTGTGAAAAGATTCATTTGTACATATGTTATATCTGTTTTCTCTGTCTCTCTTCATGCTCATGTATGGGAAGAGCTCACCGGTGTTTCCACAACAAACACAACAGAATCCTTCTCAGCTCTGTTTCCCCACCACTCTTCATCCTACCTGTCAACACACTTCCAAACACCAGCAGCATTTAGAAAAACAGCACGAGGCCTCTGCTCTTTGTTTAAGTAGTCTGTCTTTTGCTGGATGCTTCGTGGTACAGTGTTAACGTCCACATTTATTCAGACGAATACTGTTTAACTTCTCAAAAGTAAGAGCATGTTGGTCTGTCCAGGCCAGGTTAGATATGCATCCGACTGCCACCATCACAGATCTGTTTAATCTGCCTATCAGCCAACCAGCCTCGTCCGTTTAGACTTGTCCTTGACATTTTGGGGCATGAAGCTCCTTTCGGTTATAGCCTGAAAAATATTTGTTGAGTCTTGGTGGAAAAACCTTTCCCGAGTCTGTGTGAACATTTGTGTTGAATTTGAGGCGTTGAACACCTTCAGGGGTGATATAACCAGGATTAGCAATCATCAGGGTTCACTGGTACTGTAACCAGTCAAGTAGAGGAAGGTTTGTTGTCACTCGTTGGCTGTTTTGCACAAACTAACAATGGGAATTATAATCCATTAAATAGAGGATTAGAGTAACTCTGCAAATAGTCTGAGGGTAAATTAATCTCATTTTCACTGACCGACAGTGAAGATGAACTGTGAAGGAGTGGAGAGACAATGCTGGTACCTCAACGCTGCACGAGGTCATCGTTCATTCGTCTCGATGAGCTAAAAGTCACACTCAGCTAAACAACCATCAAGATTTTTTTTTCCCTACAGGTGGCATGTAAACCAGCCGAATTCTTCTCAGTTCGTATTAATCAACATTTTTCAGATTGGAAGCCAGTCCAACCTACAGAATGACTGAAAACACAACATCATTTATTATAATCAAACCCAAGTGCCGATGACATCGTACCACCACTGACTCAGTCTAACAAGTCTTTGGGGAAATTACAGTGAAAGAAATCATTATGTGATGAAAGTTTTCCCACAAAGAAAGAAATGGTTTCTGGTTCATTTCAAAGGAGACAAAATATTCTGCATTAACTCGAAGCTTCAACTCTCACCACAGACTTTTCATTGACCTGAGGACAGGAGACTGGTGAGGACTGTGCATAATACCTCATTCTGGATCCTCGCTTTTGCCGGTCCTTTGTTCTCTTAGTGCTATGTTTAAGGTCTTCCTGGAAAACCCACCCACAACCAATCTTCAGCATTCAGGCTGAGGGGACGAGGTTCTGGTCCAAGATTTTAATGGTACATGGCCCTGTGCTTTGAAGACACAGGGCCTGTACACTCAGAAAAACGACTTCAAGCAAGTTTCCACTTCCATGCCCAACGGTGGGGATGCTGTTCTTTGGGTCATACGGGTAGAGCTCAGTTCCATTTTGGTTTCATCTGACCACAGCACTTGCTCACCCGGCTTTCCTGAATCATTTAGATGTTCACTGCAAACGTCAGATGGGCCTGCTTGAACATTTCAGTCCAATTTCTGAATACTCAAACTCAATGCCTCACCAAGTTCATGGTGGTCGTCTTTTACTTCATTCCAGCCTTGGGCAGGTCTACGGTGGGAACCGGAATTCTAGCTGGGTTGTAAAGGCTCAAATACTCATTTCAGCCAATAACATGACATCAGTTTTGTCTAATGTGTTTCTCTAGATTTTTGGTTGATATTCTGCGTCTCTCCATTCAAATGAAATTCTAAAAGAAAGACTGCCGATTTCTTTGTGATTAACTTCAAGGTTCACCAGGGGGCAGGGATGGTTTCCCTTTTTATTGATGATGGTGATTTCTGAAGCCAAAACAATAAAAACAGCGATTCGATGGTCTTCATCCAAGAGCAGATTTAATATGTTCAGCACATCATGGCAAAGAAAGACACACTATGAGCTGTGATTTGAATCTGGCTCAAGCGTCTTCAGAAAGGAAGTCTCAGTCATCAATACAAAACCAATTCAACCAATGGACAACATCAGCTGGCTTTTGTCTCTCCAAATACATTGCAGCATTTAGTTTGATATATAAAAAGAAATTACACCAAAAAAAATAAAATAAAATAAACTTCAATAACTTCAATTTGCTTCTTGACAGAAGAATAAACGGCCGAGTTTTCTTCAACAGAACTGAAAGACAAATACAAAGAGACACCCCAATCAGACCCAATGCAGAGAAACCTGAAACAGTCAGAAACAGATCCGACTGTCACCTGGCCCTAAACAGACACTATGAATCTCAGCACCTCAGAAATCAGAGGCAGAAGCTCAGTGGAAAAAGATCAAAGTGCACACCTGCAGTGGAAAAACACACCACAGAGCTAACAAACAAATGCAGATCTGGTAACTCAAATCTTTTCGCTTTGAGCAGCTTGAGGCAGCTGCTGTTGTGATTTGGCATTTTATAAATGAAAATGAATTGAACTGAAGCTTTGCTCTTCTCATAAATCACCTGCTTCTCCATTTAGTTGCTTCACTTTGACCTGAGTCAGCAGCTAAATCAGCTAGGTCGGGGTGAGAGGGTATGGTAAGATCAGAAGGTCAGGTAAAGAAGGTTAGCATGCAGATAGAGCTGAGAGGAAGAGGGGGAAGCTGTAATTCAGCCTCTGCTGCCACCATCTGGAGGCAGAAGCTGCAAACCTGAGCTCAAACATTCAAAGCAACAGACAGTGCACAAGACAAGTGAACAAAAGCTCCACAAAAGAGGAAGACTTCAGAGAGGATTCATGGATGTACTGAAGGAAGGAGGGTGGGTGTGACTGCTGTGTAGACCTCTAAGAAGGGTGATGAGAAAGAGGGTAGGTCGATTAGCTATTTATCAAATATTTGCAGAAGAGAAACTTTTATATGGCCCTAAATATTTCCAAGACAGCGCCGTCTGTAACACTGATCAGTGTCAACGCCAGTCCACATGTCCTGTGTATTTCTCAGAGTCAGGGGCCTTACCTTCCATCGTTTGCCGCAGTCGTTACACAAAACAAAAGTGGTCATGGGCTCATCAGCGCTGCGGGTCTGCACCTGAACACGAGAATGAGGTGGTGAAAACTGGTCAGAGAACAGCGAAGCCTGAAGATGTGCTCATACCTGTGTGTACGTGCAGCTCTTTCCATGACACTTGCTGCAGATAAACATGTCCGTCTCAGTTCCTCCGACCTTGGAAAGCTGATGCTGTCTGATCGACTCTTTTGTCAGAGCCTCTCTCATCTGCTTCAGCTCTGCACTCGCCATTTCCTGCGCGTACACACACACACACACACACACACACACACACACACACACACACACACTGACTCCACTCCTTTTTGTAGTTATCCAGTTTACATTCATACAAACCACCGCTGCACAAATGGGGATTCTTACCGTTTCACTCTATAAGCTCAGTGGGCTCTTGACCTCATCTCACTAACGTGAAACTAAAACAAATTACTTCCCATTTAGACTTTCAGAATAAAACAATATTAGGCCTATAAATATTTTGCCAGAGACAACTTTTTTCTAATTTAGGCTCTGTAAATCACCACAATCAATTTAAAATGAAACAACTGAGATGCAGGTGAAGTGCAGACTTTCAGTTTAATTCAATGGTTTGAACAAAAAGATTGCATAAATGTGAGGAACTAAAGCATTTTAATGCAATCAAACACAAAACAGAAAAGTAATCGGACCAATTACATATAATAAAATGTTCATTTCTTATACTTGGTTGAAGACCCTCTGCCTGAAGTCTTGGACATCACCAGATGCTGCTTTTTAATGCTCTGCAGGCCTTTACTGCAGCAACTTTCACTTCCTGTTTGTGGGCCTTTCTGTCTGACTCCAACCAGTGAAACGCTCAGTTGGGCTAAGATCAGCTGACTGACTTGGCCCTTGAAGAATTTTCCAATAAACTCCTGGCTGTGTGTTTCGGGTCATCTGTATTATGAAACACACTGACTCTGACTGCACGTAGACAGTCTGTCTCTGAACACTTCAGGAGTTCGTTCTGCTGCTTCGGTCACATCATCATAAACACTCATGTCTAGGGATGGGTATTGATACGATTTTCACGATTCCGATTCCATTTTCGATTCTGTTTAACGATTCGATTCTTTATCGATTCTTTTTAAAAATGGAGGACACTAAGGTCGACTAGCTTAGAACTTTGTTTTATATCTTCTCTTTGAACAAGATAGAAATTTAGGAGTAACATGGCCTTACAAACCCAACAGTGAGATCTTAAGAGATCCAGCCTACGGCTCTTCAATGGGGTGTCACAGGGACCCCAGGAAAAAACATTGTAAATGTAAAATAATAAAATAAATATTCTTCTGTAGCAATAACAAAGTATAACATAAATTATTCTGTAGCAATTACAGTAATGTCCCTGCCTACAATTACACACATTCACTTACTGAAAATCATCTGCTGTGGCAAACGGGTGCAAACCTTTGACCACAAACTGAGTCACTGCTCGGTGACATTCGTCTATCCTGCCTGAAAGGAGACGCTACCGGCAGACTGCAGCGAGAGCTGCCAGCATCTGAGCCAGACTCTGTCTCATCATGGTCACTAAATGCACAGTAATGGCAGGTTTGTTATAAGGGAGCTCGCGCTAACATAATATGCTGTTAGTTGATTATTTACCTGCCGCATTAACGGGAGAGGACGTGCAAACGTTACCGCTGCTGCTGGTTGAGATTCACGAGTCCGGAGCAAATTAAAAACACGACATTCATTTAAGGTCATCGCGTGTTTTGTGAGCAAATACTTTTGCATCTTCGTAGTTTTTCCTCCCTTAAATGAAATATTTACTTTGCAAGTATTGCAAGTTGCCCTGTCGTCATCCGTTCTCGTAAAGTATAACCAAACTTTTGAGCGTTTGAGCCGCCGTGTTTCCTGCCAGGTAAATGACGCTCCACAACGTGGTGACGTCATTCGGGGCGACTGGAATCGATAAGGGAATCGTTTGCAAAAATGGCAAACTATTCCAAGGAATTGAAACAGTGGGAACCGGTTCTCAACAAGAACCGGGTTTTGATACCCATCCCTACTCGTATCCCAGTGCCACTGGCAGCCATGCACGTCCAAACCATCACACTACCTCCACCGTGTGTTACAGATGATGGCCTTGGCCTCATCTGTCCAAAGAATGTTTTCCCAGAGCTGTGCCGGCGTTTTTAGATGTTTGTAGCCGATCAAGCCTTTCTATTCTCGAGGCTTATGAATGGTTGCACCCTGCAGTGAACCCTCTGTGCTTTCTGTCATACAGTCTGCTCTTTATGCTGCACTTGGGTATCGACACGCCTTCCTCCTGGAGAGTGTTGTTCCCTTGGCTGACGTTGTGAAGAGGTTTCTCTGCACCGTGATTCTGCGAGCATCCACCACCGTTGTCTTCCATGGACGTCCAGGTCTTTTTTCCTTGCTGAGTTCATCAGTGCTCGCTTTCTTTCTCAGGATGATTTTGTCACTCCTAATATTGCAGCAATTTCTCAGACGGTTTGTCTTTGTTTGTTTCAGAGCTGCATTGACTGCATGATGTCTGTTCACAGCAAAATCTTCCAAATGCAAGAACCAAACATCAAATCAAATCTTTAATCTTCTCCACTGATGATGACATGACGAAGGAATTGCCCACACCAGGGGTCAGTAACCTTTAACACCCAAAGAGCCATTTGGACCCAGTTTCCACGCAAAAGAAAACACTGGGAGCCGCAAAAACGTTTTGACATCTAAAATGAAGATAACACTGCATATATTGGGTTTTTTTTTTTATCTTTATGCTTCAACTAAGGTGTGTTGCTTATGAATCCATGAAGTGGTATGGAGAAAATTACATTATGTAATTAACACATTTTGAACTCTTAAAGAAATATAACAAAAGGAAACACCCAGCTGAACTAAAGTGATCCAGCAAACAAAAACTGTGAGCCGCCACCCTCATTTCGCCTTTGGGCTTTTGGAGCCTTGACCTGACTTTGGAAAAAAGCACTATGCTGCTAAAAAAAAATGAAAAATAGATATTTGCAAAATTCTGCCTACATATGTATTTTACCAGGTTAATGGGTGTGGCAGGGCGTGGTCTGCAGTGCCGCTGCAGAGGAGGCGGACGCACCTGAGAGTCACCCGCAATCACGCCTCGCCGCCTTAACCTCTGTGCTATCTGGCTCAAGCGATGGGAGTTCGCCTTGTAATCGGAAGGTTGCCGGTTCGAGCCCCGGCTTGGACAGTCTCGGTCGTTGTGTCCTTGGGCGAGACACTTC